ATCAACACTATGCAGACTTACAGATATAGATGAAATTACCCTGGGAGAAGCATACTTCGAAGAGAGATGGGTAGGGTAATCTTGTAGTTGAAACTGGGATTTGACAGAGCTGGCTATTTCTTTTTTCACTTCGAGACTACCATTTAAGATCCCTCTCTACAATTCTGTGCTCTGATATGACTGGGGGAAGTCTCAGAAGTAAATACTACTACTACTACTACTACTATTACTACTACCACTACTACTACTACTGTTTTATCATTAGGAAATTGTCCTAGTTTCGGCTAGAACAGAGTTAATCTTCTCATGGTAGCTGTGAGGGGGAGGAGCTTGGAGCCATGCTGGGTGTGTCTCAGTTGTTATTCTATAACACCCACATCACTGCCAGGCAGTGGAAGTAGGAGTTCTCACTTCCAAGAAGGAAGGGGGTGTGGCTTAGGGAGCAAGAAAAAAGGGAACATACAGACCATCCGTGGCCATTTTGTCCTTTTCTGGGGGAGTGTGTGGTGAGCTGAGAGGTGGGGTGGCACTGGTCCCACATGGATGGTTTGTCCCCCACTGGATTTTTTTTTCAGTGTCTTGGGCTTGGGGGAAAAAGGCAGGCATGGACAGTTTGTCCACCATTGTTTTTATTGTCTTGGGCTTGGGAAAAGAAAACATGGTGGAGGGAGCGGTGCGGGGGTGCCAGCTACAGTTGCATTGCTTTGGACTTGGCGAGCATTTTTTTGCATGTAAACCACCCCTTTTTATATACTTTTGTTATTAATATTGTTGATGTTCCTTTTATTATCTCATTGCTGTTTCCAGTAAATTGTTATCTTAACCCGTAACCTCTACCCTTTGTCGCTTTCTCACTGGAGGGGTTGGGGGGGAGGGGAGCAGCTGCATGGGGTTTAATTTGCAGCTGGTCTTAAACCACAACAGAAGTTATACCAATATTTTCAACTGCTGTTTCTGTGCTTTTGTTGATGGAGAGACTCCTGATTACGGTGTTTGATGGGTGCACTTACAATGCTCTGATGGCCATCTACAGTACTTTGGGGAAGACGAGGTTATAGAGGGATAACTCATGTTTTCTAAATGCATTGTTTGAACATAAGGAATATTCATGGCAAAATGACTCATGTCTGCCTGGTAAGTGAGACACTTTTCAGTGAATTGCTTTCAGAACCTTATTACATGCAGTGGTATGTGGCATCAAAGCAGCCTCTTTTTGAGTGCATGTTTTGATGCAGTGCAAAACACCTGATGTTTCATTTATTCAAGCAAATATCTAGATAATATCATATGAACTTAATGGAAAGGATTTAATATGCTGTTAGTAACAAAAATTCTCTAGTAGTAATAAGTTTTACATTATAACCAGTCATTATAAATGGACTAAGCTTATCTGTTGGACTTGACCCCATATTGGGGACATTTCCCCATATCTAAAGAAATCTGTGTCTGACTTGGGTTCTCCATGAGTTGAGTTCACTTCACTTCACTGAATCTTATTACTTTGATTCTTGTTTTATTCATCTCTAGTTACAGCATAGGAAAACCTTTTAAGGCCAGCTCATTGGGCAGTGAAGGGCTTTTGATGAGTTAAAAATGATGTTTCAGATAGAGGTGCAATTATATTTCCTTAAGGAAGATTGCAGGAACAAATGAAGCAAGTACATTTTTTAGACCATGGTACAAAGGAAATTCTATAGTAAAATGAATTATTTCTATGTAGATGAGAGGGAAGGGACAGATGAATATAGAGGATAAATGAACAAGTTTTTAATGTGCACATGTTGATTTCTTTTTCAGAAAATTAAATAGCTAGTCCATTCTTTTTTTTTTTTAAAGAGTGTAAGAATGTACAATAAACTATCAGTATTAAAACTAGTTGCTGGCACTTTACTGAAACATAATGCTGAAATGCATAATGGACTTGTGTTTCAGATGCTATGCTCAGTTTTGTAAATAATAGATCTGCTGTTTTGTTTAGTGTTGCTTACACATATTCTTTGTGATGTATTGTCAAATGACCTTTTTGACTGTTTAGAATACCTCCATTTTCGATTTCATTAATGTTCAGTGCATGAAATATTCCCCATAAAAACTTTTCTGAGTGTAGTAGAGACAGCAAATGGGGTTATGGCAATCTGTAGAATGGACTCAGCTCAGACAACTTTATAACAGCTACAGATCAAGTTTTCATTGTGAGGCTACCTATTAAATTTATAGACACATGAGGAGTTCAAAGAAAAAAATCTCTAAGATTAAGTACCCAGAGAGATTTTAGTCAAATTGGTGTACCTGGTATCTCTTCCATGCATGGCACTGAAGAGCTTTTGCTTCTGTGTTCTGCAATTAAGCTAGTAAGGCAGGAAGTAAACAAGCATAAAGCAAAGTGGATTTCAGATGTTCTTTATTTTTAGACTGAAAAAATTTCTGATGAAGATTGTGACATTTTCATTAAGTTTGTCATGAAATTGGTTTTCCTAACATTTGAGCTCAGTTTTACTTTTTTCAGGCTGCTGGCCAAATCAAACTAGTGAAAAAACATCGTATTTTTTACCAAATAAAATATTTTTGAAAATTTTGATGGCATTTATTCATTTATCATAATTAAATGCAAATGTACTTGTACAAAGACTCTAAGTAAAAAGAAAGGAGCATCTGACTATTTTCTGGTACACCTGATGACGTATTTTCTAGCATAGGAAATACTTGGCATTTTCACAATGCCATCCATATCTTGTTTCAAATCCACATTGGCAAGTTTCCATGATCACTTGAATGTGTATTTTTCTGGTTACATCTGTAATCATAAAATCATAGAATGGCTTGAGCTGGAAGTGACCTTAAAGATCACCTAGTCCAATCCCCCTACCATGTGCAGGAGCACCTTCCACTAGCTCACATCACTCAAAGCCCCATCCAACCTGGTCTTGACCAATTCCAGGGATGGGGCATCCACACTTTCTCTGGGTAACCTGTTCCAGTGCTTCACTACCCTCTGAGTAAAGCATTTCTTCTTAATATCTCTTCTATTTTAAATTAAAACTGTTCCTCCTTCTCTGATAGCTATCTGCCCATGTAAAACGTCATTCTAAGAGCAAACTCAGGTAAGCACATCTGGCACACACATGAGTCCTCTAATGAGTAACATGAAACCCTGAATTTTCAATCACAAAATGTTTGTTATAAATGCCAAAAAATTCTGAATGTCATACCTTGGAGCAGCCAGCCATTCGTGGGGTTAGGCTTTTCACCTGCTAGTTATTTCACAGTCTGCATGAGAACAGCTCTCACCCAGGGCATGGAGGGTGCAGATGGTGATGCTCTTGACAGCTGACTTGTGCAGAAATAAAAAACCTTCACACCGCACCAGAGTGATGTATGTGGAAAGTCAGATTCTCAGTGTGTCTATCAGTTCTCAACTTTTTATTTGGTAAGTAGGATTCTTAAGCCATTGTGGTCTCTGATTGATTCTTTTCACTATGTGTTGCATGCAGTTGTAAGAAAATAAGCCTAAATAATAACATTAAAAGCATACAAAATTGAAAGGTTGTTTATTTATCAGTACTTCATGTCCTGGCACCAGCACCCTCAATTCGAAGACCATTTTTCTGTGATTTCAGAAATGTTCTTTACACCAGAAAGGCTAAGTTGCTTTCCCCATACTGTACGCATTTAAAACAAAAGTAAATATCATAGCAAAAATCTTTGCATGAAATGATTAAATAAGTATCTGCTGTAATAATTGTTTGTTAAAGATAAAATAGGAGGTCAACAGATCTCTTTGACATCAGGGAAGGAGTTAAAAGAAGTTGGAGGATGCGTTGGTGCTAAGCAGTACATGTACAAAGGCTGGCCCTTCCATTGCAATTTTAAACTGTAGAAAAAGACTAAAATTTATGACTCAGGGGGAGATTGATGGAAGACCTTATGCAAAAAAATTACTGATGAGAAAAAAGAGTGGAGATAGACTGGAACAGCTAAATATACTTTGGCAGTTGAAGCATGCAAATATATAATAAGGCAATCAAGAGGAGAAAATGATGTATTCCTAGGTTTTGGACTTTATTCCATAAAAACAAAAAAAACCCCAATACTTTAAAAACAGAGGAAATACAAAGGACTATTCTATCCATTAGCACTATAAGGTAATATTTATAAATATATAATACAGAAAGAAAATGAAAGACTAGCTTTTACAAATTATACTTTACTGATGGATTTTCAAAGTCCGAGGAAGCATAGTAAGGATCACCACAGTTTGTGGTTACCCTGGCACTTTTTGAAATATACAGATGCCAGCTTGAACTGTCCCAGCTATACTTCAGCCAGGGCAGCATTTACATTCTCCTCATCTACCTTTTACTTGAGTTTCTTTTGAAAAATTATCCTTTTCTTTCCTATCTGAAAACCAGCCTTGCAATGTTGCAAGAATGAAATGGATGTCGTGGACTCTTGACCTTGAGGGTCAGATCCCTTCAGAGGTGGCTGAGACAATCCATACACAATAAGCAAAAAATTCCAGCTGGAGTGAACTCAGAGGTAAAGTATTGTGACTATAAAAGTAGCTGATGCTAGTTGAACAGCTTGGGACTCACTTCAAGGAAAGGGAAATGCTGGCCCTATTCAAGTAGGAGAGTAGTTCACCTCTCCTTTTAGCAAGGTCAGAGCTTTTCTCTGAAGATATCATCCTATATCTTCTCTATTCTACCTTCAGGTAGTAAAGTGGTGTCAGCAGAATGACTTGTAAAAGCTCTGCTATATCACAGAAAAGGGCTGTGAGCTGTGTTCCTGTAAGTGATCCCTGAGCCAGGTCTGTGTGAGCGGCACATCCAGGTGGTGCCATGGGCTGCCCAGTGTGCTGCGAAAGCCCCAATGGGGTCCAGTTCTTCCAGAGTAAATTAGCTCTGCTAATAGCAAGGGTAATTAGCGTGGATTCAGAATACTCCTGATACAGCAGAGTTCTTGCTCTTTTTGCTTTGTTTTTGTGCTCATTTACCACTGAAGTGCTTATTCATGGTGTTAAATTGCTCTGTGTGGATGACTACAAAGGGGAACATTCCTCACTGCCTGCACAAGTAAAGCAGGAGCTTCACTTGGTAAGTGTGTCTCTTCATTCCTCAGTGGTGTTACAAGTTGTCTTTCTCAGCCCAAGAGCTTTCATTGTTAGTGGTGATTGTTGTCTGAAGATTGTTCTGCTGGTAACTGACTGTTACTTTGGTTGCTTCACTGGGCTGAAACTATGTTATTTATAGTGCTTAGTCATTGTGTAGAACAGATGTATCTTATTATCCTGGGAACCATTCGGGATTCAAAAGCACTCATGTTTCTCATGAAATGTGGAGGTTATGTCAGGTTTGAGGGAAAAAATACTTGGTTTTTTATTTTTGGAAAGTTAATCAAGCATTAGGGTGTCAACAGTTGCTTTCAGTAAAGCTGTATGAATAATTGGTTTTATCCCTTAGCAGATGAACCAAATTTAAAAGATTATTCAGGTCAAACTTCACAGCAAGTTTATTTGGTGAATGAAATATGTTTCATTTTCATACTGTCCATTTTTAACTAAAGAAGGAATCTGAAAGGATAAGTTGCTGAAAGAAGCTGCTGACCTTTCACAGAACAGGGAGGAGAAGAGATCTGACCTTCTTGAAAATGCTCCCATATCATGAGACAATCACCAGAACAGGGCTATCTTTGTTACCTCCAGCATATGCAACATAAAAAAAGCATATTACAGAGAGGAGTTGGAAACCCTGATTAAGGCTCCTGCTTGTGGCCTGATCTTCTATGCCTTTTATGTTCTTATCTCTGAATTTGGATAACAACACCGCACTCAGATCTTGGGTTGCATCATTATCCCCCATTGGCTTTTGTGCAAGTGTCCTATTAGAATGAATGAAGCTTAGAGAGGTATTAAAAATAAAAAGAGAAAGAATTTAGGGGAAGATTTTTTCTGTATTATGGTGTATATGGCTTATGGTGTTCCTGCTTGCTTTTTGGTTCAGTATTAATAAACTTATAAGCATTTCTACTGGAACTTAAACACCTAAATCTGTAGAATTTGTAAGTTCTTCTAATGAAGCTGAGCAAATCTTGTTCTAACAGTCTCATTTTTTTCAGTGTTTTCCTGAAGTGAAAGAAACATGGTGCTATTTTTCACAAGCATGTAATGGTTATAGATGCATTCACCTTAAACTGTGTCATCTGTTTAAATCTCTTTTATGACCAATTTCAATTCCCTGGGAATTGTGCATTCAATATAATATTAAATTTTGTAATTTTTGAAGTCTTTAATTAATATTTGAACAGTAACAAAGCATTTCATTTTTCAATGAGCATTTTCACTTGCTCTATGGGAAAAAACCAATGTTGTGTTAATACTGGAAATCCTAATTCTGGTCACAATCTGTTGAAATGGCTTCAGGTTTATTTCATACCTCTCAGACACCAATTAATTTTTAAGAGCAGAGAACCCACTGTCGTATTCAATTGGACTCAGTGTGTCTCCGGTGCTATACCAGGGATGCGAAGCAGCTGCCACTTGGACTGGCTGTGTTGGGACTGAGTAAGTAACACATTTTCACAAGCAAATGCAGTAGTTTGAGTAAGGAACTGCTCCATTTTTGAGAAGGGCTTTAAACACTAGTTTCACAGTAGAGCTTTTTTGGAGAGGAAAGATGAATCCAAAGACCTACATTGACTCTTTTCTTGGATTTTAGATGGAGCTCCAGATTCTGTGTCATTGCAGATTTCATTTTTCTCATGGCAAAGCACAAGAGAGGAAAACGTGAATTCCACAGCTTTTACTTTAGCAGTTGTGAGGAGCCACAGCCTGGATATTTTAGGAAAAAAACAAATTCTAAGACTCAGCTACTCAGCCTAGCAAATGTAAAGTTGTCTGGACTAACCTCACACTTTTCAATCCAGTTGCTTTCAGGACTGACCGTACAGTTTAGTTTCAAAGTCTAAATCTAGGAGATTTAGACCTTTGGGAGCAACATAGCTCACAGCACAAAAATCTCTGAAATTTTCCTTGCTGCATTAAACACTTGTTCTCACTTCCTCTCCAAGGCTTTGATTTCAGCAGCTTTATGCTCTGTTTTATTCCTTACTACTATACTCTTTGCTTTGTAATAGAGAAGAAAGAGTCCTGACTTTTCAGGACACGTTTGTGCTACTATGTGCTGTTAATAAAATTTATGTTAAATAATGCAAAATTGCATACTGAATGCACCTGGATTGCTGGTCACGAGCTGGACATAAGGTTACACAAGAGGTAATTAAGGAAGTGTTTGTACACAGATTGATGTATCAGGAAAGACTTGAGCTGTGGGGGTCATTGACTTGAAGATATTGAACCATTAACATTTACAGGATTTCTTTGGTGGCAAGGACAAGATAATCATGCTAGAGGAGTAATCCTACCTTCTACCAGAGCTGGGATTTTGATTCAGGACTTTACCTGGGGAAACAGAGCTCTTTTTGTTGTGGTTCACTCTAATACCAGGTCAAAAGGCACTCTGCCTTCCAGCTCGGTAGAGAGAGGTGAGGATCAGAGGAAATGGAAGCATTTGTGACAAAATTGGGCAGGGTCTAGCAGACAAAGCTGACACAAAGCCAGGATCAAGAGAAACCTTAGGCTTGAAGTTTTGAAATTCTTGTTCTGATTATTTTTAAGCCTTGCATGGTCTAAACCCAGCTTTAGTAGCCTTTTCTGGAAAAAAACCAACTTCTTCGTTTGATCCTAAGTGGCCAGAGTGCTACTTCCTGGATATTAGGGAGGAAACCAAAGGTGTCACTTTGCTGTGTATATATCTCAGCACTGACAACAGCTGGTAGAATGCATAATTTTTTAGCCAGGACTTTTTCTATTCCTACATCAGAGAGGAAAAGAATGGAAAATTTTATGATAGTGCCTCTTTTTCCTACATCAGAATTAACTGACACCTCCCCCATGAAGAAGCATCGTGCTGTTTTCCCAGTTATAGGCTCAATGCATGAAGGATTTACCAATGACACATTTAACACTCTAGGTCGTTTCTGGTAAGAATACTCTAAAATTCTTAAAGTGCTAATGAAGATTTTGTCTTAGTGCTAATTTGAACTATCAATAAATGAAATATTCAAAATATGTGTAACAAGACTGTAAGTCATTCAAAACTCTAAAGGAGCTATAATTAAGTTCATAGGTGGCAATAAAAAGATGACAAGTTGTTTCATTTTGTAATTTTCCTGTTTGATTGTAGTAAGTACAGTTCCCAAAAAGTTAAGTACATGGAATTCCAGCCAGTACCAATGCATGCACATATAATTCACCTCAAGTAATTAAGAATGTTTATGCAAAAGTAGGACAGTGAGAAATCACTTTAAGTAGAGCACTCTCTTAAACAACTGTGTGCTTAAGGTTAAGCCGATATCTAAATGATTGCTGTATGCAGTCCAAAGGACATAAGGAGATATTTGCTGCTGATTTTCAGTGTAAAATCTACCTTTGCTGCAGGAAGAAAAAAGAGGGATGATTTTTGCAACACCATCCCCTTCCCCAGCAGCCGAATTTTATTCAGTGCAACTCACTTTGCAGACTTTCCTGCAGGTTTTGTGGAATTGTGATGGTCATGCTCTATATCCTGATTGAAAAGTGGTAAGGCCACCCAAAGTTTAAATCAGGGCAGAATCTGATCAGTAAAAGTTATCCCAAAAGTGTAGAAGACAAAGGAAAAGAGAAAGGACTGGGAAGAAGAAGAGACTAATATAAAAAGAGACAAGAGAGGGAGAAAGGTGGGGGGTGGGTTTTGTAGATGGTTATCTTGGAAAAAAGAAGTCATTTTTATTGAGAAAGATTCCATTAGAAAATACTATGTATTTAAACCTGTTTTTTGGTGGATTTGTTTGTTTGTTTGTTTGTTTTGGCTTGGCTTTTTTTTTTTTAATTAAGCTTAATTCAATTTGCAGTCAGTACTTCTATCGATATAATCAATGAGAATTTTTTTAGAAGGTAGATAACAGATATTAATGCTACAGATGTTTATCCTCTTTTCTGGGGAATTAAAAATGAGCATGATTTTAAGAATTTAGGTATTGCATGTATATGTCTGCATGGTTCTGACCACAAAGAGGAAATTTTATTCTGTGATCAAAGGAATACTTTTTACGCAGTAAGATAAAGATAATGCAAAAAAAGAGACATTGATAGCCTTTAATCTTGGTGAATGAGTAAGTATGTTTTGCAAGGCAGAGAATGACAATAGAGTGCATCCACTGTATTTTTGGAGTAGCTGTGCTGGTTTAAAGGTAAACCAGCAGGGGAAATGAACTCAACTCAAAAGAGAGATTATAAGTCAGAATAACAATTTAATAAAATAATACAATAAGTGCGATTATACAGACAAACAATTGGTTTTAACCCACAAAACCCAAATGCATAACCCAGCACCCTGGGGCATGAACAGAGTGGTGTTCTTTGGGCCCCCTGAGTCCAAAGTAAAAGGAGAGGGGAAAACCTGCTGGTGAGAGTGCTGTTGCAGTCTGATCAAGGGTGGTGATTGCAGTCTGGTTGAAAAGTGGTGGTTGCAGTCCAGTTGAGAGTGGTGATCTGCAGTCTGGTTGAGAACGGTGATCTGCAGTCTGGTTGAGAGTGGTGATCTGCAGTCTTCCTCTGGATCCCACGAGTGGTTCAAAAAGTTCCAAGACTCTAAGATTGTATATTCTCCAGTTCAGGCAGGAATGCTCAGTACTTCCCTCAGAGCGGGCAGTTCTGCAAAGGAGTGTGAGGGCAGGGAGGCACCCTCCTATCTTAACACCTAGTTTATAGCCTGAGGAGTCTGGCTCTATGTGCAGATGGTGTAAATGGTTCATTGATAACAGTTTCTGGGAAATGGCATGGATGGCTATAGAATACACAGTTTTGGGTTACACCCATACAATGATGAACTGGTCCCAGCTGTTCTAATTAGGACAGAAGCACTTGATAGTTCATTTTCTCTCTGTTTTAGCATCATCATGGCTAGGCTTTGCGAACGAAGATTTGGGAAGGCACTACCCACACTTATTGCAAGTGCGTTGGTGGCTAAAAAGGCCAATACAAGATAGACATGTTCGGTTGCAAAAGGCACAGCAGAAAGACTCCCCAGGCGGTACAATCTGCAAGGCACGATTCTTTCTATACTGTCTTTTCTCCTCAAGGGTGATCCTGCGTGCTTTCTCAAAGGCATCAGCAGCATTAAAGATAGTGTGTCTCCAGACCTCTTGATTGGAGGCCAGAGTTATGTTGATCAATATGGCCAAGGCTGAGATGTTGTTTCAGGGAGTCCTTGTATCTTCTCTTTGGGGCTCCTCTCTTGAGGCAGCCGGTGGCAAGTTCACCTTAAAGCAAGATCTTAGGGAGGTGGTGGTCCTTCATCCTTGAGACGTACCCTGCCCAATGCAGCTGTGTTCTCAGCAACATGGCCTCAATACTTGTGATTGCTGTCAATATCCTGAATACTATATAACTTTGTAATGAAAAAAAAAGTACTAATTTCTTATGAAAAATGAGAGGAAATACGTTTTTGTGTATTGCACTGGGTGAATGCTCTGAAAACAGAGCTGGAATCACTGACTGAGACCTCTGTGAAAGTGCAATGAAAGTCAGCATCATAAAGATGGGAAATGCAGCTGATTATTCCCTTGTAATTCCCTTTTGGAACTTAGGGCTGGGTTATCCTAGAGAGGCTGAAGGCGAAAGTCATTTGCAGAATGACTCATTAAATGGTCACTTAGATGTTTCAAGCAAATGTCACATTCTGATCTGTTCAGATGTTTGCAAAATAAAAAAAAAATTGAGAAGCAGGAGATTGATTGTAAAGTCTCTGATGTTGCCAGTGGAGTCATACAAATTCTTAAGACAACCCCCCCCACACCATTTTGAGTTGGAAATATTTGCTACAAAATGGATCTTTTCAGCATCTCAGTTTTCTCAGTAGAATATTCTGGAGAGCAGCATTTTTTATATGTGTAAGTGCCCTGCGTGTGTGAAACAGTGAGTTTTCTCCCATATGATTATCACATGTCTTAATTGTCACGTTTCCCATATCTGGCAGATGAGGTGGTTTAGTTCATAACGTATCCATCTGAAAAAAGTTGTTAGGCTGTCAATTTTTTCATTAGAGGTCTACTTTCCATTTTATTTTACATATTTTTACAGTGTTTTGCCTTTCAAATGCTGTTGGAAGAGATACTGTACATTGTGGGTATTACTGCAGTTGTAACTCAAAATTCTGAATATTCCTAATAGAGGTAGTTTTAAAGTATGCACCATTTACTTATTTACTGTGATTATAATAACTGAAAAAAAATTAATTGACTTTTAACAATAAGCAAATTCTTACTGCTTTCTAAGTTCCCATGTATTCATGCAATATATTTTGAGACATGCCTACACTAGATATATGTAATTAAATACATGTATTAATTTATTTTTGTATATATGTTCAGGTAATCTTTGTATTATTTTATCTAGGAGATTTATATATAATTATCTACATGGAGTATTCTGTTTCTCCTCTCAAGCAGATCAGAAGAGGATTGATTTAGATACAAGTGGCCCAGCAGGAGCAAAGAGATGAGGTGCTCTAACTCTTCCAGAGAACAGAATTAACATGGTCAGTCAAACATAATTTTTCACTTGTTTCATTTATGTAACAGGTAAAAATTAACATAGCTGTGGTTTTTTAATTTAAATCTGAATTGTTACAAAATTATGAATTGTATGAAGGAGATACATCAAGTTATCCTTGTCTCCTTTTCATTCTAGTAAAAAATACACGATCCATTCAGTAAAGAAGTGACAATCTAAAACATAAATTGTCATAAATACACGAGTTAATTACACTTCAGATTTCATTTCCTCAACGATAAAATAAAAATAAGTTAATCTAAAGCAAACATATGAATTTTGACTATCCCATCTGTCACATTTTCCTAGGAGATGGGTATTTAAATGGTATGACTCCATTTGATAAACTGTCTTGAGCAAGAGCGGGATCTGGACTTTTAGCTGAAGGAAAGAGAAATCTGATAGTGAACATTTATTACTATTTAAAGTGACTTGTTTGACTTATGCCCTGAAGAGTGATGTTTTGTATTACATAACAATAATTGGTTTTAACAGATCATTCTTTTTTCCTTTTTTTTTTTTTTAAATTTTCTTGCCAGACAAAACCATTCATCATATCAAAGTCTGACAGCAGACCTTAAAACAAAGTGTGACCAAAATAAGTTTTATGCTTTGAAAATTGAGTTTATGAGATACAAGGAAAATATTTTTTTCTCTTAAATGAAAATGTGTAACAGACAGTAACTGCTCATACCTCTCAACACACAGAAATTGGCCCAACAATGAGAAATGCGAGTCATAGGCAGGTTGGGAGTTTCACTGTACTATCATGCCATTGATTACAGCATTGAACTTTTATGTTCAGATGCCTTTATGGAACAGCTATGTTGCCACGGTC